AAAAAATGCAAGTATGCAAGCGAAAAAGTTTTTTTCGAACTAAATTAAGTATGTTTCTTATGTATTTCCCCGAGAAAAAATATTTATATATATTTATATATAAATTGGTTATACATGATTATATATGCAAAATGGCCAAATATAATCATATATAATTATATATAATTATATATAACTATATATAATTATATATAACAATGTTTAATTATATATTTATCACATCTAATTAATTATTGGGTTAATTTTATGGATAGAATATTTAATATGGTCCTACACCATTCTCTAAAAATAATTAAAATGCAAAAAAAATGTCAGTATATAATTTTACTGCTATAACACCAGCGGTCACCCATCCAATTACTAACCCTACTCAATGCGGCTTAACTTTGGTGATATCCGTGCGTCTTGAAGTTTCTGTCTGCTATGCTGCTATCTTAGACAATAATGATTCTATGATCTACTTAATGCATCATATGAGTTTATCTTAAATATAATATAAAAATTGATTTTATAATATATTTGGATAGTCATAGTTCATGATTAATTTATTTTAATAAATTATTCATTAAATAAATAATGATTTTACTATTAGGTAGTAGTAGAGCAGACCAAAAAATTTCATAGGAAATGTAAAAAATTTGTATTTCAAAATTATTTAAACGTAATTATGAACACCACTTTGCACTTTTTGTGATTATCAAAAAAAAATTTGTTTCAAATAAAAAATTTTGATCACATCTAACTATACAAGTCTGATTAGATCTAATTATATAAAGACTCATTCATATATAATCAGATCTGATCATATATAGATTATACATGGATTATACATGGGGTTATAACAGCCAAGTATGATTATATCCGAGAAAAAATTTTTATATATATGTTAATTATATATAAGCATATATAATTATATATACTTATGTATAATTAGATATGGGAATATATATAATCTTGCATTGCTGTATATTGCTCCATATATAGTCATATATAATTATATATGATTATATATGACCTCATATACAGTTCCATATATAATCATGTATGATTATATATAATCTTGCTTGACTGTATATTGCTCCATATATAGTTATATATAATTTTATATAATTATATATGTGATACCATATATAATCATATATGATTATATACAATTTGTAACGTGGTAAATTTTTATTCGACGCCCAATACTTGGGGTATTATAATACGGTGTGTCTAGTGATCCGACAACTCGGATGAATAAAAAATAATTATATTTTTCCGATAATTGAAACTGATATTTTATCAGATGAAGAAAAAAATAATTATTGGTCTGATAATTTTAACAATATACAATAATTTTCTTACTATAAATAACCATTATTTAAATTATCGGACGACTAATTTGTTTAACCACTAGAAAAGAGATCTAGTCAAATACTTATAAGAGAAATTACGCCTTCGGGCTTAATCGTTAAAACTCGAGAATAATCGTATGAACTCGGGAATAATCGTATCACGCTATGGCCGTCGCACATGCGCGCCTTGGTTAGCGGTAGAGAAGCCGGCTCGCGTGGTCTGCTGCAACAGTTGTGCTTGGACTTCTGTACTAGTACGACTACTCTGTGCTAATCAATTCGATAATTCTTACTTGCATCTCACATTCATTCAAATATTTAAATTATTCATTAAATATAAATAATTATAGTAGATTCAACTATACTTTAAATTCTCAATTCATTTAAATCAGTTTAATAAATCAGTGAATTAACATAAATAAAATCAAATAAATTTATTTAGTGACGCCACGCGGCCATTACACGCCACCGTTAACAAAGGATTGCATCAGCCACGCGGATTAAGTCAATCCATAATTGACGCTCTAATTAATTGAACATTATTAGCTCTCGCCTTGAGACAATTCGTCTAATTAATTGAACATTATTAGCTCTCGCCTTGAGACAATTCGTCTAATTAATTGAACATTATTAGCTCTCGCCTTGAGACAATTCGTCTAATTAATTGAACATTATTAGCTCTCGCCTTGAGACAATTCGTCTAATTAATTGAACATTATTAGCTCTCGCCTTGAGACAATTCGTCTAATTAATTGAACATTATTAGCTCTCGCCTTGAGACAATTCGTCTAATTAATTGAACATTATTAGCTCTCGCCTTGAGACAATTCGTCTAATTAATTGAACATTATTAGCTCTCGCCTTGAGACAATTCGTCTAATTAATTGAACATTATTAGCTCTCGCCTTGAGACAATTCGTCTAATTAATTGAACATTATTAGCTCTCGCCTTGAGACAATTCGTCTAATTAATTGAACATTATTAGCTCTCGCCTTGAGACAATTCGTCTAATTAATTGAACATTATTAGCTCTCGCCTTGAGACAATTCGTCTAATTAATTGAACATTATTAGCTCTCGCCTTGAGACAATTCGTCTAATTAATTGAACATTATTAGCTCTCGCCTTGAGACAATTCGTCTAATTAATTGAACATTATTAGCTCCCACCTTTGGATTATACAAATTTAAATTATCGATAATTTTCTTTATACGGCGGCTGAGCTCACCCCTATTGCGTTATTGCAACGTAATTTTACACATTCACACTTACACACACACACACAATTTACTTGTATAATTTCATCAAGGAGGTTTTTCCCAGCCTAGCTGGGTTTTCCTCCTTTGGGGACAAATAAACCATCTAAACTGTTCCCCAAAAAATCCAAGCATTTTTATTTAACTTCCTAATCCCAACTTCATCATATTTTTAAAACAATTACGAGAAATATCCGCATTGGATAGTTTTCGACAAAACATAATTATTTTTTATACATCCAAATTGTCGAATCACTAGCAACAGCCATTATAATATTCCAGGCTCGAATCCAACGTTGTGAATGTTATGTGTGAATGAATGAAAATTGTACTTATTTTTATTGAATTTATTTTGTAAAAATACGTAACGCTGGACGAGTAACGAAGACAGAATGAGTATCAGCGAGTAGAAGGCTGCGCATTGGAGCGACAAGGATGGAGCTACGACGTAAGCAAGCGAGTACCGAAGTGACGAGGCACCGAGCGGCGTAAACACCCGAGAGGTCTGAGGACAATCGACGCTGCATTGCCGCATTTTTCCAATACGACGATCAACATTAATGAAAATTGGTTAGTCAGTACTGCAGGAGCAGAGGTGACTAAAAACTGTCGTGGAGGTCCGTTGACTGTTATACGGACCTAGATCAACTATCGACGGGGTCAATTCCATTGGAAATGAAAACTAGCGCCGCCAACTTCAATGAAGGAAGAAGTGGGTATTTCTCCATGAAGAAGACGATTCGAGGCTGGACTGTCGACGTACACGGACGCGCTTTTGCGCGTTCCACAACGTAAATTTAATTTCGAAGTATTGTCGCGATTTTGTTTATTTGAAGTTAATTTGTAACTTGTTGTAAAGTATTGATTTTCTAACTTTATTATTTATTTGAGTCGACCACACGAAGCTTTCCAAGCTGCTAAAATGAGGACGACGCTCAATTACTTGGTAAGCCGACGTTCTTGTTCAGTGTTGAATCCAGCGTTTAGAGTCCACGTTGTAATTTTGTAAAATATTTTGATAAACAAAATAATACGCGAGGATTCAACGCTTTACGATTATTTTTTTTTAATGCTGTTATTACATAGTGTGATTGCCGATGTATATATGTGAGTGTAAGAATTGAAGTTGAGACAACGGGGATTATTAATTTTAATTTTGTTAAAATTAAGCGCAAATTTATGTTACGACGTTTTAACAATTTTTGTTAAAAATTAATATCGACCGCCGACGTATATTTTGTTGAATAAATTGTTATCTTTTTATTAATTCTCCTGAATTTATTTCAAGTAATTTTAAGAATTTCGTTTATTTTGCTATCCTATTTTTTAACGACGAGTATTTCAGCATTGGCCCGCCGCCCTGAGGAAGAGGTAAGAGCTAGCCGAAGTCAACTAGTATTAATCGGAGATCATTCTTCTGGCGCCCATTTTTTAATAATAATTCTTTTTTTTAGTTAAGCCAAAATTTCAATAAAAACGGTGAGCCTGGCTTGGTAAATCCCCGGGTCAGGCAAAATCCCGTTATATAATTTGGCGCCCAACGTAGGGCACACAAAAGGGTAAATTACGACGCGTTATAATTAAATTAGAACGTAGGACAGCTAATCGGCGAAATGAGCGATTACCTCGGTCAATCAACCTCGAAGGGTGGCAAGGGAAACGATTCCTTGGTGACATGGGATCAACTCATAGATAATTCAACGCAACAAAATAATCAAGAGGGCGCGAATAGAACGACGAATCCCGTGGATATTCCGGAAACGAGTCAGGCGAATATTGTGACAACTGTCACGGGGCAGATAACTAGCACGACGAGTACTACAGTACAAACAAGTAGTCCGACGTACACCGTGTCACAAATTATCACACTGACGACGAGCAGCGCCAGCGTAAACAGCCCACCACTGAGACCTCGACGTCGTATTCTGGTATCTCCGAATGCCATTGATGAGAATGAGACGTACGAGTGGTATTTAGAACACAGGGAGGAGGTAAGCGCGGAACGACTGAGGCTGGAAGCGGCTCAGCGCGACTTGGCTGATAAGCTCGCGCAGCTGGCAGTCCGCGAGGGTATAGTACAGGACGAGTTAGCCGCTATTGAAGTGCTGCGGTGATTCGCGACCGACTGCATCGGTGCTTGCGTCTGAAGCGGTTTCCGAACACAGTCTGGACACAAGAGGACCAGGCGATACCAGACCGACAGGTTCTGAACGCGTTTGAGCGAGAGCAGCGATGTCAACCGAGGACAACGCCTCGCTCTACTGCAATGACAGGTTGTTCGACAGCGAACAACACGATACCGCGGTCGACAACTATAACGGCGACGACCACGAGCAGCACAAAGACGACCTGGACGACATGAGCTCCAGGAGCACTACATGTGGACGTCAATGAACGTACCACATACATGACGCACCACGGGGTTAACACTCAGCGCCCGAGAATGACGACGGTGCCGCTGGAGCGTCCAATCCCGAGCCCTAGGCGACGAAATCGTCTAAATGAGGGACTTCCACAGCCTACAGCAAATTCGACACATTTGCCGGCACATAATGTGACATTTGCACCAGGGATGGCACCACTGGGTGCGAATTCACCTCAGCATTCACACAGTGAGCACTGTGTGCTATCTGGAATGGGTGGTGGACCACATTATCAACCTGCGATATATGGGAGAGTGTCGAAATGGAACTTGAAGTTCTCCGGGTTAGGTAGCGCGCGCGTTGAATCGTTTTTAAATCGGTTGGATGAATGTTTGACGACGTGTGGTATGACGGATGCGGATGCGTTGGCAGTATTACCGTTATTGCTGTCAGATGTGGCCAAAACGTGGTGGTCACACATGAAACGTCGTGTTTCATCGTATTCCCAGTTCAGATCCGAGTTGCGTCGACGTTTTGGAGAGCCATCGGTCGGATGCAGGATCAAATGGGAAGTTATTACGCGTACTCAAGGGAAGCTTGAGATGGGATTAGACTTCCTAGACGCCGTGATCGCGCTGTGGTCGCGAGTAGACGATCCATTGCCGTTGAAGGACCAATTGGACTTCGCATACAATGGTTTACGTCCAGAATACCACCAGAAGTTCGAGCGGTATGATTTTAATGACTTCGAAGAGTTGTATAAGCACGTAAGAGCGATTGACATTCCCCGCAATCGCTTACAACGACGTGAACCAGTACCCTTGGAACAGAGCGTTGTTCCAGAGTACGCTTACCAGCCTGAAAAGTACGAGCCGAAGAAACGTCCTGCTGGTCAGGTTGCTACTGTATCGAATTCTCCCCAGAATGCGAAGAAGAACATCAAGAAGCAGGACAAATCGAGTCAGTCGAACAATGCAGATCAGTCAAATGATCAGGTTGCTGCAATGAATTCGCAAGCGTCGATGAACGCGAACCAAGGGTCGTTCTCAGGGCCTTCAAACAGCAATGGAGCTGAACGAGGGTACCAGGGCCCCTCGAACGGCCGATCAAGCCCGAAGCCAGGTAAACCTAGGACGCCAGTACGTCGTGATATTTGGGGCAAATGTTTCAATTGCTTCTCGACGGATCACGGATGGCGTGAATGTCCCGAGGCAAGACAAGCGAAGTTCTGTTTCGGTTTCGGAACGCGAACAGAACCAACGCCTGGATGCACGTGCTGCATGATGTTCTTCGAATATAACCGGCCGGAAAACGAGGTCGGGAATCAGTAAGGACGGGTCCAGAACTGATTTTCCGCGACGTAAATGGGCCGATGATTGATGTTGAAGCTAACATGTCGAACGAGCCGCTGCCAGACATATTTAACATTGCCATCGAGCCTTGCGGGCCCGTGAACCAGTCCTCGGATGCTGGTTCCTCACCTGGATGTGACGTGAAAATACCGACGATAACTGATGAAGACCTTTTGCGGCAGCATCATCGCTGTGGCGTCTGTGGTGCAGAAGGCAAATTATGGCGATGTTTAGGGTGCAAGAATGCGTTTTACTGCTCGTGTGAGCATCAAGAAGCTGATTGGCCGATCCACCAGTGGATCTGCGTACCGATTGAGGAGCGTGAGCGAATTTTTCTGGATTTAACCGAAGAAGTATGTCCTATGCAGTCTGAGGGTGACGACGTAAGACCCTTTATAGATGTCAGGATAGGCGAAAGGGAGATCAAGGCTTTGTTAGATACCGGTTCGACGATGACGTGCGTCAGAGAAGTTGACGAGTTGAATTGGGTCTATGGGTGCTGTGCTCGAGTGAGACCAGCACCTCGAAACTCAGCAGCAGTTGCTGATGGTTTGATGATGTCAGTGCAATCGCTGATCACGCTGCCACTTGCGATTAACGACGAAACCATGCCGATCGAGATTCGTGTCATCCCGAAGTTGAAGTACGAGATGATACTAGGCATGGATGCCATAATTGGTTTCGGTATTTGCTACGACGGGGGTTCAGAGCGATGGTGGACTTGACGCGAGGGCGAGATATATGATTGGAACGCGAAAGACTACCTTATCGAGGAGGAAATAGCGGCCATAGTTGAGATAACCCCGGATCAGCAGTCAGCGTTAGACGATTTGCTTGCACGACGATTGCCTGACGTGAATTATACAGGGGAAACGACGTTTACGAATCTGATGACCCATGAAATCGACGTCCAGGGCCATGAACCGATTCGACAGCGTAACTATCCGACTTCTCCGATTATTGAAGCAGAAATGTGCCGGCAAGTAGACGATCTACTTGCGGCGGGCATAATTGAGCCTTCGACGAGTGATTGGTGTAATCCAGTCATCATGGTAAAGAAATCGACCGGCAAGTACCGAATGTGCCTGGATTTCCGACGATTAAATGCCATTTTGAAGCCATGTGCTTACCCATCACCGCTGATGACATGGATCTTGGACCAATTGAGTAGTGCAAAATTCATTTCAAAGATAGATTTGAAACATGCGTACCACCAGGTGAAACTCGACCCTGCAAGTCGAGAGTATACGGTGTTTTGTGTACCCAGAAGGGGTATGTTCCAGTATGTAGGCATGCCGTTTGGCCTTGCTGGAGCGCCGTCGCATTTCCAGCGTCTAATTGACAAAATGTTGGGACAAAGACGTGGTATGAAGGTATTTGGATACCTTGACGACTTGATTATCGTCACCGAGACGTTGAAAGAGCACTTGGAGGTGCTTGACGAAGTATTCGACGGTCTAAAAGCTGCGAACTTGAAAATAAATGCTGATAAATGTGAATTTTGTATGAATGAGGTTCGTTTTTTGGGTTATCGCGTAAATGAGAAGGGTTTATTAGTAGATCAAGAGCGTATAAAACCGATGCTTGAGTTCCCGAGGCCGACGACGTTGAAGAGAATGCGACGATTCCTAGGCATGGTCTCGTGGTATCGACGTTTTATACCTGATTTTGCGACGATAGCCGAGCGATTGACGCGGTTAACGAGTAAGAAGGTCAGATGGACCTGGACCGCGGAACAAGAAACGGCTTTTGAAGCGTTGAAACTGGCATTGGCGACAGCAACAGTGCTGGCGTGTCCTGACTATTCAAAGACGTTCGTATTGCAGACTGACGCGAGCGCAACTGGTCTTGGAGCTGTTTTGACTCAAGAACATGAAGATGGTGAGCGAGTTGTAGCATACGCGAGTCGCGTCATGAATAAAGCCAAGCGAAATTATTCAGCGACGGAGCGCGAATGCCTCGCAGTTCTTTGGGCATTTTCGACGATATCTCGAAGGATATCGATTTAAAGTTATTACTGATCACAGCAGTCTTCGTTGGCTACGTGATCTAAAAAGTAAGACGCCGAGACTGAGTCGATGGGCTATGCGTTTAGCCGAGTATCAGTTTCCGATTGAGTATCGAAAGGGTTCATTGAACGGCGTTCCTGACGCGTTATCACGAATGTTTGAACCAGATGAACTGAAATATGGCGATGAAATCATGGCAATTGACGAGTTGCCTGAGCAGGCTGACGAAATACCTGCTGCTGAAGTAGTTGACAATTGGTACTCGCGACGAAAACGCGATGTATTAGCTTTTCCGACGAAGTTCAAGGACTGGCGTGTCGAGGAAGAACGTTTGTACCGATATATGCCGAATTCGCTTGTATCGAGCGTCGTTGAGGACTTGGATGCCTGGAAATTAGTTCCACCAAAAGCTGCACATCAGGGAATTATCGAAGAAACCGATGATCCACCTGATGCAGGTCATTTAGGCATTGAGAAAACGGTTTCACGCATTAAAGTCGATTATTATTGGCCAGGACTGGAAGAAGATGTCCAACGTTACATTGCTGATTGCGATGTTTGCCAAACGTCGAAGGTGTCGCAACAACCAGCTGCTGGGCTGATGTGTCGACGAATTGTAAACACACCATGGACCGTGGTTGCTATCGTTTGTATGGAATTTCCACTTAGTCATGCAAAATATAAATACATGGTGGTGTTCCAAGATCTATTTACGAAATGGATCGAATTATGCCCAATTAAGAAGGCTGATGGCCCGACAATAATTCGGAAGTTTGATAAACTCATCGTTCATCGTTTCCGATGTCCTGAAGTGATTTTGACTGATAACGGCACAGAGTTTGTGAATAAGCTGGTAGATAAGGTGGCAAAAGCTTATGGTATTCATCATTCTCGTACACCACCGTATCACGCGCAAGCGAACCCCGTCGAACGAGTAAATCGCGTTTTGAAGACGATGATCATCTCTTTTATTGAGTTAGATCACCGAGCGTGGGACGAACACGTCCATGAGTTTAGGCATGCGTATAACACCGCTGTACATAGTTCGCTGCATGTTTCCCCAGCGATGTTGAATTACGGGTGGCAACCGCGTGCGCCGAAATACTATCGAAAGTTGATCGAACGTGCGACGGACATTCCGTGTCCTGATACCGCGGCGTGGTTAGACCGTATTGGGCGTTTAATGCAATTACACGACTTAGTTGCAGATAATTAAGGTCAAAGTTTTGAGCGACAAGCTAGATATTATAATCGTCATCACCGAGATGAACGAATTGCGGTAGGAGACGTCGTAAGGGTGCGACAGCACACGCTGTCACGCGGAGTTGATCGTTTTTCGTCGAAGCTGGCGCGTAAATACTCGCAGGAGACGTATGTAGTTTCAAAAGTTATTTCGCCGGTCGTTTATAAATTAGTGAGCGAGAATAATCGTCCAGCGGGACGAAAACATGTTAAAACATTGCGTTTAGTAGAACGTGCGCTCGAGAACGACGATATCGACGAATAACCGAAGCTCGAATTCCCTTAAATTAGTTATTAGTTGTTCAAGCATGTAATTGTTGGTTTGGGGTGTGTGTGTTACTTTCAGATGGCTAGCAGAGATCAGATCGAGCGCCACATCGTAGTACGCTTACACACCCTCGACTACCACTTATACGAGGCATCGAGGCATGGAGACAGGAAGCAGAGCGTGCTCTGCAAGAGGAGTTAGCTCGGCGTGCCGCAGGTTGCAGGCACGCGTTGGCTATTCCAGTTACACGACGTATGCGAATGGGCTGGTATTTAGATTGTCTCCAGTTCATTCGCCTCCAAATGGAACCGATCGCCGTTGGTTGGCGTTGTTCAACCTGTCGTCGACCGACATATGTCCCACAAGCGTGCGTTCGAGAAGCCAAGAGGACTCTGGTGTTTCATCTGGCGTCTGTAGAACGCGTGCGTCGCGCTGAGGCGACGTTAGTGGAGCTATTGTTGTTGGCGGAGCGGTTGAACCGCGCACTCGCTCTTGTACAGAGTAATCCGCCGCGGATGTTGCTGCCAAGGATTCCGAGAGCCCGAGCGCTGGAGAACGCTCGAGTCCTCGCCCGAAAACTGCGAGCTAACCCCAATGTGCCAGCGCGGTGCCGAGCTGGATGCTGAACTGCGGGATGCCGCACAACATGACGATGTGTCCTCATCCTCGAGGCACGTACTGCCTACGATGCGGGAAGATCGGGGTTTACTTCGAGGAGTGTCGCCAGTGCCAGCCCGAGTGCCCAATCGACGGTCCCCGACACCATTAGATGATGCTAATGGAACAGACGACAACTGTGTTCCTTTATACTTTAGTTTTTTTTATGTTTTTACTTTATTTTTTTATTATTATTGATTTTGAAGTTTTTTTTATGAGTTTGATTTTGTATTAATCTTTGTGATCGTCGAGGAGACGACTGATACGCGCCGGAAGCGCTGACTGAATACGCCGAATGGCGATAGTGTTGAACGTGCCGCTAAGCGGAGTCATTTAATAAATAAAACTTGTTTATATTGAAACTGGACGAAAAATTATTTTTGGGTTATATTGCTGGTGATGGGTAGTTTAGGTTGCTGTTGGTTTAGAAGGTAGTTGTGTTGGTCCAAGCGGTACCTAGACGAAACCATGGACTCCTGGTTGACGGCTGGGGGGGGGGGGGTGTTGTAACAGGCCGCTTTTAGCGCCACCTGTTAAGACGTTTTTTTTATGATAATTTTATTTTTGAATTTTATTTTAAAAGAAATTTAAACTGAGGTTCTTATTTTTAATTAATGTCCATTGGTTGGGTTCGCCGCGACCGAGTCGCCCTGACATGTGGAAACTCGCACGAAGCTCGATTGCGCGCGAAACAAAAATCTAATGAGATAATACGTAATTTAATTTAGTAAGTAAGTAGCTTTAAGTTAGATTTAAGTACTTAATAATTGTAATGGTACTATCGACGTCGGCCACGAACCCGCGAAGAGAAACCAACAAGGATCATCGACGTGGATACTCTACAAGTCCATCAACGATGAGAGGATGGCTGTGTCGAGAGCTAACAAAACGACGGACTGATCGGGACTCGGAGTGAGCAAGCGGCGCATGCGTGAAGTTGGAAAACTGGCTGTCGAGCGCGCCAATGCTCCAGCCAATACATCATTCAAAACGTCGATATTGGGAAATTGGACTTACGGCACCATCTCTGGAGTTCAAAGCTAACGACGGACCCAGAAAAAAAGGGAGAGACGAGGAATGTGACATGTGCTGATATTTTTCCTTCTTCCACGTGCTGGCTCGGTGTGATACACATGCGTTGGAGTTAATTTGTATAAAAAGTTATTGGATTCGTGCAAGCCATTATTATTACGACGAGGACGAGCGATTTGCTTAGTTTTTTTTTTTGTTAATTGCGTGTATGTGACCTGTCGTCACATCGACGGACAATTGGCGGGTGCCAATTTCTTTGATTGCTGATTTCGACGTGTTGGGGTATAACCCCTGGACATCCTCGACGAGTTCAGGATAAATACGACGCTGCGCCGTAACTTTGCTATCCAGCTACTATCCGTGGAAGCTGAGGACGACCTGGTGGACGACCAATCGACGGACAGGGGTGATTTACGTCTTCGACCAGGGTGAGTGGCTACGGTTTCTTTAAATGAATAGCTCGTGGGATTTATTACAATAAAGTATTTTTTTTATTTTTAATTAATTTAATTTGATTATTCGTAATTAAATTTGTCGTTGCTTGGCGTGACATATCGCCAAGGAATTTCAAGGTTACGTTGAGTCAACCAGTAATACAATAATCCCACGAGGTATTTCGGTACCGCCATTGTTTTTTTTTTGTGTGTACGGTTGTATTAAAATTAGTATTATTAATTGTTTAATCTTTAATTAATTTTATAATTAATTAAACCCGGCGAGTGTAATAAATTATTATAGAATTGAATTATTACTTAACTGCGGCGAATTAATTTTTTTATTTGATTATTGATTAAATCCGGAGATCGAATTTTTTTTTTGTTAACATTTGATTGTTAATTAAATTCGGCGAATAATTATTAAATAACAATTTGAATTAACTATTATTAATTCAATTTTGGCGCATAGATTATCAGAATTGATTATTTATTTAATTATCATTAATTAAATCGAACGAAGTTTATAATTTTTAACTTCTCGCTAAAAATCTGAGATTTTCAAAAATCGGGAAGTTATTGTTTTCACCCCGTTTTGCAAAAATCGAGTTTTCATCAAATCTCGACGTTTGAAGGGCACAGGAAGCTTCCCTGACTATCCCTGCGAGGTTGTCACAATGTCTGTATGTATGTGTGTGTGTGTGTATGGGTGTGTGTGTGTGTGTGTATGGGTGTGTGTGTGTGTATGGGTGTGTGTGTGTGTATGGGTGTGTGTGTGTGTGTTTTTTTCCCTTTAGGGGGGGGAATCCTTTTTACGGATTCTAGGCATAGATGTTGGCCCGGATATGTGGCGACTCGACGCAGCGTCATACTAAAACTTGACGCTGACGCCCCTACCCACTAAACCCTAAACCCCTTTCTCTTCTATCCTCTGATCCCCCATGGTACCGCCGTAAGGCATTTCTTCGCGGGGGGAGGAATTAGCTGCCACTCTTCCTTCTGGTGGCTAAGATGTTGTCTTCCTTCTAGATTCTGTCTTTTGCTCTTTTTCTCTCGATGGAACGCAGCTCTGTAAGCACTTCTGTAGCAAAAGTGTTCGTTGCATTCCAGGCAGCTTCTGAAGACAGCATTGCTTCTACGATTGACTCTGGTTGAATTGTCTTCTTCAGGATTGTCTTCAGCTCCTCACGTTGTTGATTGGAACGCGAGCACTCGAAAAAAACGTGCTCTGCATTTTCAGTGGCTCCAGGGCAGGACGGGCACTCCAGAGAGTCGTCATGCCTAAAGCGGTGAAGATAAGCCCGAAAGCAGCCATGTCCTGACAATGGTTTAATGTCAGTCTGTGTTTCTATCAATTTGTAATAGTCTCACAAATTTAATGTATATATATTAGAAATTAACTTTCTTTGTTGCTGTAAGATGGACAGCGGTGATTTAGGTTCAACTCATTTCCCCCCCTTCCCGCGCTGTGGTAGTAGCCCTGGGACGGGGTAACAGTGGTGAGTAGCATAAAATAAAAAATTTGCTATTTTCTATCAATTTGTAATAGTTTCACAAATTTGATGTATATACATTAGAAATTAACTGTATTTTTTTTTTTTTTTTTTTTTTTTTTTTTTTTTATGTAAATCAAACCTTTATATTTTCTCCATTCATCCATACATTATATATGTAATGGCCTCTATTTTATGCTGGAAGATGGACGGCGGAGTTCCTAGGGTCCACCTTTACAAGCATGGAATGTGAGTGAATTCCATACATGTTTGTAAATTAATTAAAATTAATTAAAATTGATTACAATGAATTAAAATAAATTAAAATTAACTAAAATTAATAATTTCGTTCAAAATAATAATATTTTTTGTGTTAGGTAGTAGTTGACCTCACCGTGATTCCGGTTCAGCCAAATGTCGATCTTTGGTATGAGACGATGCGTCCATCTACCCTTCTCTGCGGCATCCCATTGAGATTGCCATCGTGCGATGCTGTGCTGTCTTTGTTCCGTTCTGAGTTCTCCTGCGCTCAGTGTTGTTGACCTCTTTCGTTGGTAAAAGTTCCGTCTTTCTTCAGCTAGGACTCTGAGAGGTAGAGTTCCAGAAATGACGCACACGGCTTCCTCAGATATTGTGCGGAAGGCGCAAGCTACTCTGAGGGTACTCAGACGATATACTGGTTCAGCCTTTCTCCATG